CTAAACCCTAAACCCTAAACCCTAAACCCTAAACCCTAAACCCTAAAACCCTAAACTCTAAAACGTTCTATTAGGAATTATAATCGACAATCATAATAATTTATATATATTTTACTATATTTGTGAATGAACGACTAATCATGATTACATAAGTTGAAGTTTATATTATTTAAATTATTTCTATATCACATAGTGATTTTCATTACAAAAAAGTTGACGAGATGTTTGAACCTTTAATTATTTAATTCATATCACAAGATATAAAACACTTACCAAACACATGAATATCAAATAATGACAGAATAAATAATACAATAATAAGTTTTATTTTTAATCAGCAAGGTATGTTATCTAAATTACAAACTATCAATTATTTTATGGTATTTTGCTTAATTAAACCAACTCCATATAATAAACCCATATTTAATTTTATTATAACAAGAAAAATATTTATAATTAAAATTATAAAATTTAATTCGATTTTTAGATTCATTTTCGTAATAATTATAGGTTAATATATTTTTATGATATTAAAATATATTACTATAAAATAATATAACTTATTAATTTAATGAATTATTAGAATAAAACAAATATTTTTTATCTAATAAATTAGTATAAAAGTTACAAAAACATCAGGTATTCAATTAAATTATAACATACTTAGACATAATAATTATTTCAGAAAATTTGAATACAGTAATAATTTCTTATTTTTAAAATAACATAATATTTATTTTGATTAGACAAAATACTTCGTTATTATTGAATGACATATTTTTTTTGTACTTTACTTTTATTGCGTGTAAATTCAAGGTAATAATACAAACTGTTTAATTAATTTTATATGATATGCAAAACATAAATGATCATTTTGAATATAACAGAAAAACCTAGTGTTGCACGTAACATAGTAAATATTTTAGGGAGACTCGGAAAAACTAATATAAGTTATTTACAATCATACTCGAAATATAATCCTATTTTGTGTTTAAAAAACTTTAAATCTCAAGAAATAAAACAAATCGATAATTGTGAGCTTATTTTTACTTCGTTAAGTGGTCATTTACTAAAATTTGATTTTCAATTACAAACTGCGTCATGGTTTCATATAAATCCATACACACTTTTTTACACTAAAACAATCAAGACAGTTATTTCAGATCACATAAATATTTTTAAAAATTTATTATGTTTATTAAGTATTGCTTCTCGCCTATATATATGGACTGATGCAGATAATGAAGGAGAAAATATAGCATATAACATAAGTGAAATTGCAAATTTTATTAACAGTAATCTCATTATCAAGCGTATTAGATTTAATGTGATTCAAGAAAAATACTTAATTAGCGGATTAAATAATTTATCCACAATAAACAAACGTGTTGCATATTCAATCGACGTTCAACATCGATTGGATTTAATTGTTGGTTCTACTTTTACTCGAGCTTTAACACTTTTTTTTATAAATCAACTAAAAAATAAGAATCTTGTAAGTTACGGGCCGTGTCAATATCCTACCTTGGGGTTTATATCTAGAAGATTCACTCGAATTTTAAATTTTGATCAAGAGTATTTTTATTCAATATCACTCGAAATTTTGGTTTTAAAATCTAAAAGTATTTTGAAATTTCAACACCATGGAGCTAAATCAAAAATTTTTGATTTATTACTTGCAATAGACCTTAGCAAAAAATTGATAAAATCTAAAAATTGTAGATTAACAAAAGTTCAAAAAACAGAAACTACTCATAAAAAACCGATTCCTTTAGATACTACCACATTATGTGCAAATATAAATAAAATATATAAAATCCCATCAAGTGAAACAATGAAAATTGCGGAAAAACTTTATATTCAATCTCTTATAAGTTATCCTCGTACCGACACTCAAGTATTTAGAGAAAACGGAATTATTTTAGAATCTTTAGAAGCATTCAAACAAGATAATAACTATCAAACAATAATTAACAAAATCATTACAAAAAAAAGTTTCTTATCAATAAATAATGGCGTAAAAAATGATTTGGCTCATTTACCAATTTATCCCGTTAAACCGGCAACTAATCTTTCAAAAACCGAATTCTTAATTTTCAATTATATTATAATCTACTTTCTCGCTGTTTGTGACGAAGATGCGATACTTCAATCAAATTATTATGAAATTACTTTAAATAATGAAATTTTTTATCACAGTAATAAAAATATTAAATTCAAAGGATTTCTAGATTTTTTCCCTTTTGATTCCTTATCTCAATCAGAAACTAATTTTTCTAAAGTTGATCTCAATAAAAACGACTTGGTGTCTCCTACAAAATATATATTGACAGCATCAGTTACATCTAGACCTTCATTAATGTCTGAATATGAACTTATTTATGAAATGGAAAAGTTTTCAATTGGTACGGACGCAACTATGTATGATCACATTGCAACCGTTCAAAAAAGGTCGTTTATGAAATTAGTAAATAAAAATTGTTTTATTCCTACTAAGTTTGGATATTTTCTTTATTGTTTTTTTGAAAATTATTGTCATGAATTAATAAGTCCTTCACTTAGAAGAAATCTTGAAAGAGATTTATGTGAAATAAGATCAAACAAAAAAAATCCAATACTAATATTAAATAAAAATTTGAAAAAATATCAATATCAATACTTGGAGTTCTTAAAAATTCTATATAATGCTAAACAAAATTTAATAACAGATTATATTAACTAACTCAATTAAATGACTCTATCGTAATACGCTATACAATAAAATTTTTCTGACTACTTATTTTTAGAATATTTTTTATAAAAAAAATTAATATTCAAATTGTTATGACTAACAATTTTAACGCATAAATAATTTTGAAGAGAAATTGTTTATTTTTTCTTTTTCTAGTTTTAGCGATATATTTTTTTTTTTTGAATATGCTACCAAATCGTTAGCTTCCTTTTTAATTATAAGGTCTTTTTTAAAGTTTTTTAGTTTTCTTTTTTTGATTGAATAGTACAGCCAAAGGACTAATGTAATAAATACTGAAAGTAATGATGATGCAATTATTAAATAATAAGCATGACCAAGTTCTATGCTAGGATACCAAGAAGTTTTTTTCAACTCATTAAACAATGATATATTCAGATATGAATATATTGCTGATATTAAAAGTAACACACCGCTACATACTCCTGCAATAACTATAAATGTTGACGATATTTTAGATGAACATAGTACATAAATCGCGGAAGTCGTCAAAACACAGAAGCAAATAACAATCGATAGAAAAAATGTTACTCCCGTCCATCGAAGTTGATTAAATACTTTACATCTGGTTTCTAACTGTGATTTACAATCACCAGAACATATTAATTGCCCGTAATCAAACGTATTTCCATAAATCTTCGGAATTTGATTCGCTCTATATACATTGCACATTTCTTTTGCTATAGTGAAAATACTTTTAATATAATAACCATTTTGATGACTAGTTGTCATTATACCAAATCGTGATTGTTTATAGATTATATCATACGAATGACCTTTTGGGTTTAAAAAATGGTATGTAATAGGTTTTGTAATTAGCCAATAAGGGCTTAATGAACAATAAATAATAATTAGACATACCACTAAAACAATAATATCTCTAAAACGTACAAATAATAAAAGCAATATTAACCAGCCAAAAAGAATCAATTGACTCTAACACAAGTTTCTTGGATAAATTTAGTTTATATTCTAGATTGTTCATCGTCTGTTATAATGTATTCTAATTGATCAAGATCTAACTATCAAAAATTTATTCAGAACAAAAAAAATTATGCAGTTTTTTAAAATATAAAGTTCGATATTCTAAGTTCTTCTCTAATTGACTACATAAATTTAAATATAATTGCCATATTCTCATTATTGATAAAGTTGATAAAATTTTATTCGCTGATATAATAATTAAATTAACTTTTGCTATGAAACAACCTTCTTTGACTAATTCATGGTTTTCATTGTCCATTAACGTTAATTCTTTAGTTAATTCAAGAAAGTTATTAAATTCATTTTTTAATAGTTGTTTTTTATCTGTTTCTTCATTCAATCCACCGACGTTATATGAATAATTAAAATCGTCCTTTTCGTAGCCCAGTTCAAGTTTGTCTTTGACCTTTGAAAAATTATCCAGTATATATTTATTTGAATGGAGAGGCTTTTTAAAGTACATACAATAAATTATTTTAGAAACACCACAAAATTTATTTGATATAAATATGAGTAAAATATAACTAGTGTTATAAATGTTATCAATATATTAATAATAACATTATTTGATAACAATAATTTAGGTATTTTACGTGATACAGTTAATGAATTAATAGTGTTAGCACCGCTGCATAATAGTCATTTAACGTTATTTTAAACAAGATAATTAGTCTTTTTAAATGAATCACTTTTATAATTACAAACGACATATGAATCTTGAATAATAAAAACGCGTTGAATAAGCTTATTTCTTAACGGTGTGTATATAATTTTTTGATAATCTCTTAATCAATAATTAACGTTATTTAAGCGTATTTATTACGAAATTTTATCAAGAAAGTATAGTTAGTTTTTCGTTACTACAGACCAGTAACCAATATTATATTAATACTGCTAAGTTATATTAAAAATGGTTGTTATAACATTATTAGCAAGCTTATTTTTTCATTTTTATATCTAAATAATATTTAAATATGGAATCAGGGAAGACTATAGCTGTTACAGGAGTTACCGGATGGTTAGCGTCACATATAGTCGTTCAATTGCTAGATGCTAATTGTATAGTACACGGTTCGGTTAGATCGTTAGAAAAAGGTGAATTTCTATTTGGACTTCACCCATTAGCGAAATCCAATTTAAAATTAGTTGTATCAGATTTGTTAAATAAAGATAACTGGGATGAATTAGTTAAAGGCTGTGATGTATTAATTCACACTGCCAGTCCATTTAATTTTAGTACAAATAAAAGTGAAGACTTAATATATCCGGCAGTTTTAGGTACTAAAAATGTTTTACAAAGTTGTGTTAGAAATCATATCAAACGTGTTGTTTTAACTAGCAGCGTTGTGGCTGTTACATATGGTCATTCAAACAAACGTTATAAATGCAATTTGGAATTTGTTGAGAAAGAAATAAAAAATTGGAATGACTTCACATTAAATTTCAATTCTTTCTCTATTAAATGTACGGATCAATGTTGGTATCATTCAATCAACAAGAATGACAATGAGTTTTCTAAATACTTTCATGACTTAGATCATTTAAGAACAAATAAAAGTATACCTGAATATTTTAATAATTGGAAATGCATGAACGAAGACGATTTTTCAGACATAGCTAAAATAAAAAACTACGAACTTAGCAAAAGCTTAGCTGAACAAACAGCTTGGAAGATAGCCAACGAAAATAACATTTCACTTACTGTTTTATGTCCTGGATTTATTTTTGGACCCATATTATCTCCTATTCATGAAAAATGCGAATCTAGTCAGCATTTATTAAAATTATTAAAGCATAAATATCCTGTTTTACCTTCGATTGGTTGTTCTCACGTAGATGTAAGAGATGCAGCTGAATGTCACGTAAAAGCGGCGTTATTACCGGTTTCTATAGTAAGTAATAAACGAATTATAGTGGCATGCGATACTGGAAATATAAACATAATAGATCAAATTAAATTTATAAATGATAAATTATTAAACACAAGTTCCATTTTACCTGTCAAGGCTCCAAAATGGCTGATAAGTATTGCTAGCTATTTCATGAGCGATGCTAAATACGCTATTGATAAAATCAATAAACCCTCATATACATCGAATTATTCAGCATATAATATATTAATGAAAAATGAATGGAGATGTGTAGAGTTGTCTATATTGTCACATATTATTTCTTTAATAAAATTTAATATTATTAATATTGCAACTGTACCTAAAAATTTAATAGAAGCTTATACTCCATATAATGATCTTAATTCTGTAAAAGATAAAGTAATGACTAAATAAAAGATGTCTAATAATTCAGAAAACCTAAAAAAATTGTTTGAGCACGGTCATACTAGTAATAATTCTTTTCTTTCGTTATCTGATGTTAAAATTATTTTTCCAGAAACTGATTCTGAAACCGCGTACAATTATTTGAAAGAACTTTGTGTGAATAGATTAGCATTTTGGTTGACAACAGATACTGAAAATGCTAAAATACAATTGCGTGATTTTAACACCTGCTTGAAAATTAAAAAAATTACAAATGATCAAACATATATGATTTATTGTCGTATTGAAAAATCTGAAGGGGCAGGAATTTCTTTGAATCAGTTGATTAGACAATTGTCTTCAACAACTATTAACAACAAAAACGTGATCAACAAGAAGTTAAAAGAACTAGAAGATCTTGAATTAATTACTAAAGTAACCAATAAATCAAACCCTCTCTCTCGAATATGGATACTAGTTCAGTATAAAAAGAATTTGGCGGCTACTTCAGCTTTATTTCACCGGGATAATGAGTTTATAAAAGATGAAATAGAAAAGATTGAAAAAGCAATATTAACTTTTTTAGCATATAGACCTTGGGTATCTGAAAACGCAATTATGCAGCATTTATCTGAAATAGGATTACTAAAAAATTTTCTTGTTAACGAATGCGTGCGGTTAATAAATCTGATGATTATTGAGTTTAAATTATTTAAACGACATGATTCAACTGTAGGACAAGATGTATATCACATTTCAACAGACACAAGATCCGACAAAATACATAACATTCCTTGTGTTTCTTGTGCTGTTTTTAATTCCTGTGAATATATCGAGTCATTTTCTTATTTTTCACTAATCAGTCCAAAATCAACTCGTTCTAATATTGATTCAAAATTGAGCAACTTTTCACAACAAACAGATTTAGATCAAGAAATAAACATAATTAATGCGACTAATTGTAATTATTTAATACATTGGAATAAGATATCACAAAAACAAGATATGAAATTTTAATTTCGGATATGAGGTGCGATTCACTTTTTTTGGGTAATTTGTTTAATAATGGAAAAATGTAATTTTAATGAGAATTCAACTTACAATATTTATAAATCATACGTCGATTTATTTGACTTGAAGATTAACACGTTAAACTTACTAAGTACAAATATTTTATCTAATACGAAACTATTATTGTCTCATATAAATAATTTTGATGATCCATCGAAATCTATTATAATATTATCTACCAAAAAATACTCAGTATTGGGTCATTCTGTATTGACTGGAACTATTTATCTAGGCTCAATGCCTGTATTAACTTCCGTTCAAAATTCAAAATCTTCTTTGTCACATGATATAACTGAAGAATTTAAATTATATAATACTAGACATGGGAAATGTATCGACTATTCATATTCCACTATGGAAAAAGTTTATTTTCATTTAGGACTAAATAATATTTGTAAAATTTTGTTTACCGATAGGAATTACAAAATTAAATATATTCCAATGATCATATTTTATATTATTGGGGAAATCTATTCTATCATTGTCGATCACAAACCAAATATAAATAATGACAATGAAAATACTTACTACTTATTGTTTAATAATTTAAAACAACTGATTTACTATTTCTTAAGATTAATCAATAATATATTTGTGATTAATGAAATATTTAGTAACTTAAGCTACGATTATGGGATCATAGAAAAACAAAAATCTTTAAATATATTTAAAAATGAGATGTACCATCTGAACTTAAATAATTTATTAAAGGTGAATTGTTTTCAGTTTAACAAAATACTAAGACTAATTAGTAATAATTTTATATATTTACCTATTAGCAATCAGCTTTTAATTATATCGTTCCTATCAGATCTCGTTGCAGAGTTTAGCAAGCACATAAATTCAGTTGAGTTAAAAAACATGTATTACTTAAATCTCTTCACGAAAGAAATTAAGTTTAAAATTAAGTCCACTCAAGAAACGTTGATCAAACTCAATAAATTGTTAAAATTCAGTAATTGTTATTATAAAGATTTGAATAAAAATGTCAACTACAATAAAGATTATTCGAATAGTAAACGTAAAAAAATTCTCATTTTAAATAAATTATTGGATACAAGATTAATTATTAATGCAAATTTTAAAAAAGCTAAATAATTATATTTGTTTGACGTATAATAAATGATCAGAGATTATACAGGAGAAAAACTCGATGAACAAAATTGTTATGTATTCATTCCTGAATTTATTTATGGAGATTTATCAAAAATTTATAAGTACTCCTGTAACAATAAAATTCATGAACACACTGCCGACACTGTTTTTATTCGAAACAATCCTTGGGTGAAAAAAAATAACTTATTTTTAGGAGATACTGAGTTAAAAGAATTTTTAGATGCAGTCAAATCTATTGTTTTGAAAGATAAAATAATAGTTTTTGTTATATGTGTAGTTGATCTTGATGATGCAATATACATTAGTTTAAAGCTACAAAAAGAAAATATAAAAAATTCACGATTTATTTTTTCATATCCTTTGAATGTTATTTTTTTACTAGATCATAACAGAAAGTACTGTGATGATTTGGTTTATCATTTAGAAAAAGGATACAATAAAGTATTTTTCAATGCGTTATATATTTACGGTCACGATGAAGTTTCTCATCATGATAAGATTCAGGTTTTAAACGGTGTTAGAAACAAGTTGAAAATAAGTGTTAGCGTTACTTTCGTCAATTTTAACTATAAGAACAATATAACCGAAGAAATCTATTATTTATCTGAATCAGACAACAATGATAATGGTTGGAAAAAAATGAATATATATTACTATCCACGTCATTTAGCTGTGTTAACTGAGATTCCGGAGAAATTTTCCGGACCAATTCGAATAGACAATGAAGATGCATTGCACGACACAGAACCTGTATCATGCTCAGGTTTAAGATACCGTTCAGACTTTCAACTAAACAATGGAGATGGGTATAATTACATTTTTAGATATCTGCTGGCTAAAAATAATCAAGATAATTTATCAATTAAGTTTTTGGAATACAAAAATTTTAGAGAACGAAACCCAATAAAAAATGAGTATAAATTTATATGCGTCAAGTGCAAAAAAAAATTCAACGAAGAACCGTATTTTTTGGCTGAAGACTCTTACTGTTCAATCGAATGCATACGCAAATGATTTAGAAAAAATTTGTTAATAAGATTCAGCACTGTCATCAGAGACTTCTTCAGCTTTTAATTCACTTGAATTTTCTGATGATATCAAAGGAAGAAGCATCATTAACGATAATAATCTATTGATAAGCGAGTTTGTAAGAGTGTTTATTTGGTTTCCGGTTTTGTTACTGACGCAAAAAAAAACACATGGTTGATTTTGAAAATATTTATAACATTCGAGAATTTTATTATTAGTAGATTTATTACTATCAATATGCGTGGCGACAACATAGACCACTAAAATTGGCAAGCCCGTAGTAGTATTTTCTTTAACTAACTTAACTAAATTCAGCAGTTCTACTGCTTCTTGATAACTTTTAATCGATTCGATTGAATATACTATGATTATCGTTTGAGAGTACGCAATTAAAGTCTGTTTAACTTGATTGTTCACGTGACCAATGACAAAATTATTCGTTTTCTCGTGGGAGCTCTGCATATTGTCGTCTTCTAAATCTAGTATTGAACGCACGGAAACAAGTTTTGAATATTTACTTTCCAGCTTTTGCTTAATAGTGTAGTTCGGCCATTGCGGACAATCCATTATTTGCGTCGAGGTCGTGTCTTCGAACTCTAAATAAAGATGTACAGATTTGTTTTTCTTAACTGTTTTAAAGATTTTGGAAAATATTCTAAAATATTTGTAAGTAGATCCTTACCGTATTTTAGACAGAGATGTTATTTTCTCACTAGTAAAGGATTTATTGATGATCGAGTTTATCAAACTTGTTTTTCCACTGTCTTTCCCTCCTATAACTGTAATTCTAGCTCCTATCAAAGTGTTCGACTGATTGTTCATAATTTTAATGCGATCAATCAAACTTAGCAGGGCATTTCAATCTAAAAATTTATATTTAATATTTTTTTCGATTAAACTGATTATTTCTATTATTATAATTCGATTTATTTCTGTTAAATTGATTGCTATTGTGTCGTATGCTTGTTTTGAAAGTTTTCTTAGTGTTGAGAATTGGAGGTATAAATTTGGACATTGGAACTTTTTGTGCACTCGATATGTAAAGCGTGACATCTGGCGAAAATGAAGTGGTAGAAAACCCATTGTGCAGCTTGACAGCAACGTACTAAAAAAAAATAAAAGAACTATCACTTACTAAAGAAGTTGTTGGACCAAAAATTTCATCAATTATGCCAATTTCTTTGTTGTTCGTCAAGTAAACCTTTCCCTGAATAAAAGGAACGTCGGTTTTTGACAGGTTGGCTGAGTTTACTATTAATTGATTTTCACATATGTTGTGGATTGTTCCAAGGGCTAAAAAAATAAAATTAAATTAACGTACGAATTAAATTTAATGGCCTGTTGTCTGAATTATAGCTCCGATTGTTATTATTTGGTTTTTTGAATGGCGTATTCCCTCCGCTTCTTCTCGAATAGTTATCCCCTCTTGACATTTTTACTAATAAATAAAAGAATAAAAAAAATATTAAAATTTTATGACAAACAATCTGCAAGACCACAAAAATATCAAACACGTTTTAGAAGAATTTGGAGATGGCAATAAAGAATTGGTCGAGTTATTCAATTTTTGGAACAGCTTGAATATGGTAAATACCAAAGAAATCAGTTCGTAAGTCTAACATTTTTATATTTTTAGGAGTAATTTGACCGCGCTGGTTATGTGTGTTAAACTTCGCGAAATTATCGAACAAGAATTGGAATGAGTAATTAAATATTTTTCTCAATTTTTTAATGGTCAATTAACCGCAAGTTTATTCGATAATATCTCTTTTAAAATTGAAGTAATGTAATGAACTTTGTAACTCAAAGCTAGTTCGTCGAGCAAATTCTTAGCGTTGGCGGGATAAATTTCTGGTTCTTTTAAGCTGTAAAAAGCTAGAAGTAAATTTGTTTTAGTGTGATGATTTATCAGCAAATCAAGTTTAATGAAAATCTGTTCTAAATGTAAATGTATTAGAGGTTTAGAGGCAACTACCCGACGATTTGACTTAGCTTTTTGCACACGATTATCATCATTAGTCGAGGCCGAAGTGATTTCGCATATCTTGTTATTTGAAACGTTTTGAACTCTTTTATTCGTTGTATTATCACCTTCATTTACTTTATTGTTTGAAACAGTTTCGGATGTTTTTCTATCAGTATTTACATCCACATTTACTTTGAAGCTTTTATTAATGCAAAAATATAGGTGATTTCTAACTATTTTTAGTACGACATCATTCAATTTAATTGTGCCAATAACCAAGTTTCGATACCTGTCTAAATTCAGAGTATTGTTAGGCAATCTGTAAATTTCTTTTCTATCTGCAACTGGAACATTCATTAAAGTTTCTGTTATTCTAGGTTTAAAGCTAAGCAAATTGAAAAGTCGCTCTGTGTTGTCTGCTTGCATATAAATGTTACGTTCTCGATTTATCATTGCACAACACTTTTGTTTAACGTATTTCAAAATTATTTTACCATTTTCATATTTGATATTGACTATTTGAGATTGCAATATATTAATCCTTTTTTGCTTTTTTTTGGAAGAACAAAAGAATAATTCATTATGAAAACTAACAATTGTAAATAGACTGTATTCACCGTTCAAACTTGTTAATGAAGCTTCGACGTCGATTACGTCTGCGCTAAGAACATTCATAAACTAAGTGATCAAGACTGTATAAATCGAGAAATACATCGTTATTATTATAAAATTATATTTATTAAAATAATTACAAAATATGCTGGGTTTATACACCCTTTCATATAAGGAATTTAGTAAATTAAAACAAACAAGAAACATTGATACTGCTAACGTTGTTGTAAAGGAAAAAGAAGAAATAAATGATGCACTTAACTTCGAAAAACTTTCTTTAACGTACGAGCTGACTAAGTTTTTAAACGAACTGTTTGAAAAAAAACGTCTTATATTGTATTCTTTGTTTTTTTGGTTGTATTGTTGCAAGTATTATTTTTGCGACGAGTTCTATGAGGATTCAGTAGTAAATTATTTTTTTGCTCTGTGTTTTGAAACCTACAATGAAAGCTCAGCTAGAAATTTTTTAATTTTCTCAAAGAAAATTCTCCGCTACTTGATTAATTATAAATGTACGGAACAATTCGCATTAACTGCGTTTTCAAAATCTGCAAAAGCAAAAGATTTAGTTAAGTTTGCAGATAATAAACAGTTAGTTTCCTACTTTCAACACTGTATTACAGAATTTAAGACATTTGTTGAAAACAACATTCAAGCTGTCACAAACTTCTATTATTTTATTAATGAGAATTTCAGTGTGATCGTTACGAGTTTGAAAATTACTAGAAATAACGTAAAAGTAGGGGAGATTTTATGTGATAATGGCAATATGTTTCATTTTAGACTATTTTCGAAGGATATAGTTACGTGGATAGAATCAAAACTTTTGCGTCCAGAAAACTTGTTTAACGACGAATGGAGCAATGTGTTCCGTTCAATCTCAAAGTTCAATCCAATGCAAACGCTTGTAGCTAAAAACATTATTAATAATAATGAAAACGTTTTACTTTCTTCGCCTACAGGATCTGGTAAAACCATGGTTGCTTTATTGAGTATTGTAAAGTTTTTGAGAGAAAAAGAAAAATCTATAATTAAAACGTGTGATAAACCCATTATCGTCTATTTAGCTCCTTTAAAAGCTTTAGTATTTGAAGTTTGCCGTAAACTGACAAATTATTTAAGCAGTAAGAATATTTCTGTTTGTGCCATTACTTCTGACTCAAAAAACGAAATCAAGTATTATTTGAACAACGACATTATCGTAACGGTTCCCGAGAAATACGATATATTAACCCGTAATAATTACAATATCATGTCAAGAACTGAGCTACTGCTAATTGACGAAGTTCACATGCTTAATGAGGATAGAGGGTCTGTACTGGAAGCTATTGTGGCCAGATTGTTACTTAGAAATGCTTGTGAACAAATTCAATGCCGCATTGTGAGTTTCAGTGCTACTATTCCTAACTACCAAGTAATCGCTCAATGGCTTAAAGTTCCTAGCTATAACACATTTCATTTTAATGAGAGTTTCCGTAGTGTTTGCGTAAATACTGAACTATTTGGGTTTAATGACAAAAACAAATTAGATACAGGAATGTACAGTAAACTCGTTGATTTGGTTCTGCATGAAAATGTAAACGATCAAATGATTATTTTTGTTCAATCAAGAAAAAAAACCAAATCACTAGCAGCAGAATTGTTAAAGGAAATACCTGAGTACTTACTTCAACAAAATCCACCCCCTAGTTTCTTATTGAAAGATATAAAAGAAAATTTTTTGAACTACGAAGCGAAACTACTTTTAGGCGGCATAGGTTTTCACAATGCATCTATGGACATCACACAAAGAAAACTCGTTGAAAAGCTATTTAGTGAAAATTATATAAGGATATTAATTTCAACAGCAACTTTAGCGTGGGGTGTTAATTTACCAGCCCATACGGTAATCGTATACGGATCCAGTGTAACTGATCCAGATACGTATAAATTAAGACGTTTATCATTGTCTGAACTTTTACAAATGTTTGGAAGAGCTGGTAGGGTAGATTTTAATCAAAGCGGAAGTGCGTACCTAATTTCACGTTTAGACGATGCTAAGCACTATTGTAATAAATTAGTTAAATGCGACCCCATTAAAAGTACATTTTTAAAAAGCTTAGATGCGTATCTACTTGCTGAAATATACCTTAATAACTTAAAAACACTGAACCAAGCTGTAGCTTGGCTTAAAAGTACTTTTTATGCAGCGTCAAATACAGCTCTAAGTTATGACGATTTTAAACAACTCATATTAAACAGTCTTAGCAGATTATCTTCATCGCTGTTGATTAAAATTTCTTATGGCCATCAATACGAAGCTTCAGCTGTTGCAAAAGTAATGGTTAAATACTATTTAGACATTGCAACATTCAAACTGTTTCTATATAGACAGACACCTGATAACATATTTGATTTGTTGGACATTTTCTTTACTTGTTCCGAATATAAGCTGATTGGCAATAACTACAAAATAGTTGAAATGAATCAATTAATTGAGCGATTAAAAAAAGATTTCTCTGCCTTACATAAATATACTGAACGCTTCTACTGTTTGTTGCTCTACATTATTTATTATGTCAATCGAAAACAATTCGACAGTTCAGAGTTAAATTCCGAGCTGCAGGTATTAATTGATTCTTTACCCAGGTTGGTGTCAGCTTACATTGAAATAATTCATTTAAAGAGATCGATACCATTCGAATTGTTGAGTTTTTGTTATAATATGCTCACATGCTTATCTAAAAGAATTGGTTTTGCAAGTGATCCAGCAGCTAATATAAAAAATCTTTCTGTGAAACAAAATGAATTTGTCAAAGACGATGATAAATACGATAAGTTATTCAGATTCTTTCCTAATGCAGATCTAAAAACGTTACGTGATTTTGTTTTGAAAGAAATGAAGCCTAAGAAAACTACTGATCTTAGTAGTTATAATCAATCGATATTGGCATTACCTTATTTTTTTTTGAAGTTAGAGCTTAATAATTCTTCTTCTGAATATAAAAAGTTAGAAGCGTCTATACTACCTGAATATCTTATCAAGAAAGAAGTTGTCACTGAAACTTTCAAATTATATGTGTTTGCCATAAAAACTGACAATTCAAATTACTGTTTAGCATTTGTAAACATTCATTTGCCGAAACAATGGCAATCGTGCCAGAAGTTTGATTTTCAAACTCTTTTAAAAAGTTTAAAATTAAAGTCTAGTGAATCCAAAGCATCTTATTTGAGAAATTACTTCAAGCCTTACGAAATTGAATTTGATTTCCATCGGTTTCAGTTAGAAAAAGCTAAAAGCATCTATGGGGTGATCATTGCAACGAATTTGTTTAACGTGTATTGTAAATCTAATATCCACGAGCTATATAACATTAATACCAATATAAATTCGTACGTTAATCGTTTACTTCCATTAAAGAGTGTTATCGTCGATATACCTTTGTATATTAAGAAAAAAATAGATTTACCTCACTACCTCGGTGTTTTTGAGAGTCAGATCTACAATAGGATTCTGCGTTCTGAGAAGCCCATTTTAATAAATTTACCTACCTATGAAGCTAGGAATAGACTTGCGGAGGTTGCGATTCACAAAGCAATTAAATCTCGGCACGTATCTGTATATTTAACGTCAGAACTTGTTCTTGCACAAGAAAAGTTTATAGACTGGGGTTACAAATACGGAACAGAAAATGTTATATTACTAACTCAAGAAATAGTATTGGAGAATCCGAAGTTGCACAACGCCCAATTATTCATATGTACTTATGACGCTTGGCTCCAGACATTATATAATCTAATACTGTCTAAGGATGTTATTTTATCAAAGATAAAACTACTAATAATCGATCAAATTCATTTAGTAGGAACACTTCAAGGAGCTAAACTCGAATTATGCCTTTATTTATGTAGAAAGGTTATAAAATGTCAAATTATCGCCATGACATCTTTCATAATAAATAATTTAGAATTTGTAAAATGGTTAAAAGCGCCCTTTAATAACTTAATAAATATAAGTGACTTTAACCGCGATGTGCCTGTGAAGATCCATGTCAAAGGGGTCCCAGAATCTTTATTTACAGAAATAGCAAGCTCAATGTCAGTCCAAATCGTTTCGACACTGAATAAAAGTAATCATAACAGACCAGTTATAATATTTGTTGGACCCGGAGATCACGTATGTAAAACAGCCTCGTTTATTTCTAAGAATTTATGTGATAAAGCGAAATTCTACAAAAATTTCAATGTGAACATCTTTTTAGAAAACGCTGAAACATTTAGCTACAACAATTCAACAAAGATTTTACCCAATAAAACTCTTATTCTGTCGTATTTAAGTAACCGAATAGAGAGTCGAGAATTGTTTGAATTTGTGTCCAGTGGTATCTTGATTTATCATGCCGGTTTATCTACTAATGATCGAATCTTAGTACAAAAACTGTTCAGGTTGGATATTCTTAAAATATTAGTATGTACAACTGATATGGTTTTAGGATTAGACTTGTCAGCTTATTGTGTTTTTATAAAGAATCTTTACCGCGTTCAGAATCGACTCTGTCGATCATTTTCATCGTCAGAAATTTTACATATGGTCAATAAAGCAGGCAGGTCTGGCTTAGATGATGATTCCGTGGTTTACATTTATACAAAACAAAGTGATCAGCAACAAGTAAAAAATTTGATGTTACGAACTTTCCCCATTGAAAGCTTCTTACTTAAAGATTTAGAAAACCAAATGTGTACATTGATTTCTTTGGGTATCATTACAGATATAAATACTGCAGTTGAGTTTGTGAAAAACAGTTTTTTCTTTGTTCGATTGATCCACAATCCTGGACATTTCATTAGATCTACAAAATCTTATTCTCAAGAAAGCATATGCGAGTATATTATGTCTGTAATCGCAAAAAGTATGTCAAATTTAGTTAAGGCTCAATTCATTGGTATTCGATCCGAACAAGTGGGCGATAACGTTTCTAACAATAAGTCTTATAAGATAATACCAGCAAAATGTGCTTTAATCAAAACGATTTATGATTTATCATATAAAACCATACACAGCCTTCTTATTAAAATCCCCCGCATTAAGGGTATAATAAATATGATATATGAATTTTCAGATTTGCCTGAGTTCAGTCAAGTAACTTTACCGGAAATTGACAATGAATTAAATAAAAAATGGAAAACAGATGGCTTGATTTTTGACATTAGCACGAGAAAAAATCTAACTGACACTAAGTCAAAGATTTTGGCGTTGCTTCAAATGCATTTGTATAAGCTGACTCCTCCGACTGACAGCTATTATAACGATTGCTCGGTCGTTGTATCAATATTTATGAGAGTACTTTGTGCTGCGTTAGGAATAGCTACGATTTTGAAAAATCTACCAGTATATGATTATTCTATCAAACTACGACAGATGTTGTATCACCAAACCGTTGTGGCGAATTACGAAATGCCGAAAGCAACTTTGGAAGTGCCGACTAAGTTATTTTCAAAACCAATAACATATACCAAAAGACTGATAAAAAATAAACTAGAGTATAAATTTAGTTTTAAGCCATTTCCGGCTGACCATATTCGGATCCTTATTGTGCATCAAAACGACCATTTAATTGATGTGATAAAGTCGAGAGATACAACTATTACTGTGTTGTTGGAAAATTCAGCATATCAAATTTCCATTTATATAGACAGGTTAATAGATTGTTACAAGTTCGTTGACGATAATGGGGATTATTAAAATCAGCCTAGTTTTATTTTATTCGTGGGTGCAAAATTTTTTTTTCGAAAGGTGATTTCTATAGATTTGATTTCATCGAAGTTCAAGTTTTGCTTTGCCACGTTTTGACTCAAAACTTGCGTTCTTTTTTCGAACAAGCTAAATTGATATTCTGCTTCTTTGTCGTTATTTTCTTCATTGCTTACTGGAACTGATGGTTTTTCGAATTTAAGCTCTATAGCCGTATTGACACCGTAGGATTCAACTTTTTTAATCAGATTTATTTTTTCTAAAAAACGAATGTACCCGTTCAAACTAGTCCACGTGGTTTCACTCAATTTGTATGGAAAGTTACCAGAGACAAGTTCGTTATACACTTGGTTGGCTAGCACACGAACGTGGCTATATTTGCCCATCAAGATATTGATGAAACTGTTGTGGAAGTTCCGAGATGCTTCGTCAATGTTTTTTTTTGAATTAATCAAAAAATTTTGAGCCAGTGAGATGTGCTTTTTAGTTTTGATGTGAGCTTTGTAGTTGTTGTTATTGCTAAATCCTAGTTTACAGGTAATACAGTAAAACTTTTGTTTAGACAACCGAAATTTTTTTTTTTTACGTATCATTGAGACATTGTGCTGTATACCGAGTTTGGACTGCACTTACAAAAAAAAATCTTTTTATAAATTGTGGTTGGATAACTAAATTTGGTTATTTATAAATATAATAATTAAAAAGATCGGCAGAAAGCGAACAGTGATGAGACTGATTTGCAGTTTGTTGGTTCAGACTTTACTTGTTCAAGTATTGACGACCACTCCAAATGTCGATATTTACTTTGAAGCCAAGGATTCATTTATCAGCAAAAAACAAGAACTTTTCAAAATAAACCAACGTAAGTAGAACTATTATTTATTGGGTTCGTTGTGAATAAAGCAAATTAAAAACTTATATATTTTTAGAACTGATGCAATACACGAGAAACAGATTCAAAGAATTGTTAGATGAACGTCGTTAAAAATTTGTTGTGTCTATTTACGCTAAAATTTTATTGGAAATAATATAATAAATTTATACAAAATGACTATTGAAGTTGTTGCTGCAGGTTTATTAGCGCACTACGCAAAACAAGACATCACCGCTGAGAGAATTTCTAGCGTCTTGAAGGCTGCTGGTTGCAGCGCCGACGAAGTGTTGATTTCTTCTTTCGTCGAAAAAGTCAACTCCATGGGCTTTGAAACTGCAATTTCTAAAGGTCAATCGATGCTATGTTCTCTTGGTCCAGTCTCAGCTACCCCTACTACTGCTTCCTCTGCTGTTGCTGCCGTCGAAGAAGAAGTCCCAGCTGCTGCCTCTGAAGAATCTGACGACGACATGGGATTCTCTCTATTCGACTAATGAAAATGTTTACTGTACTAAGCTTTGCTACTAGCAAATTTAAATTAAACTTATTTAGTAAAGTTTTTTGATAACAGCTGCTGAATTTTTTCTAGATGACTTTTAATATTATTTTTATATTCGACCGTGAAATTATATCCAAAAAAATATAAATTGTATTTTTCAAAATCCCTAGTGTAATTACACAAAATAACTTTATTATTATCTTCAGATATGTTTTCATCTGGGAGTATAAACACAATTGGGATTTCAGTAGTGTAGTTATGTTTCACGCTGAGAGAGTTTGACAAAAACCACTTGTAGTCATTTGACCAATTCACTATCGGCAAAGTCACGTGATCGAGCAAAATATTTATCGCAAGCGAAATGCAAAAATATATGTCGGCAGATTCCTTTTCCAAGCAAGTGATGACAAAATCAATTCCGTGCATGAGACGATCGTTCAAATTCGTCTCGTCTTTGTGAGGAATGAGAAAATGTTCGACTTTGACAGATCTGTTTAGCAAATCGGCGTAAAACGTTGCGAAAAACTCAACGTAGTTGTTTTTTCTCAATTTTTCTTTTTTGGTGCGAGGGTTATTGATTATATTCTTAGAGAGTTCCTTGAAATAGATGTTGATTATTGGGGAGGACTGTTGCTTGATAGAATGGACCGCTCGACAATAAACCTCTGAGTTTGAACTTTTAATCGCGACGTGAGAGTCTCCTTTTTTTATTTCAATGTCTGGCAACATCTCGCTAAAGCATTTATTGCATAATACAGAGATAATTTTTTCGGGCAATTTTATTAGTCTTTAATGATTAATTTAGCCGGATTTATTTTATTATAATTTTCAGTTCTTAAAAAAATTATTTGAGAATTTTATTCCCAAAGAGTACGCAAAAATACAGCACCCAGATGGAGTTAGACACCCAAATTCAAAAATTGTTGCATCCAGTGCAAATTGGAAAGCTTCTCTTTAACATTAAAAACAAAATCAAACAAAATGGAGACGACAGCACGATGAGTGGAAAGTGTGATGAAATAGATTCTCAAATAAATGACCTATTAAAGAGTCACCCGTACATAGAATTGTACAAGCTTTTCAGCATTAAGCCCAGAGACGTTGAAACTGTTTCCCTCAGCACAACCAGTAACAGCATCGAAGCTTTGTGGTCTCAATTGTACGGTTTCTCCCTCACCAGTAACATAGAAAATGTTTCTACTATATTCGAAGTCGTGACTAAAATCGATTCGCATCTCGTTGAAATATTCAGAAACAAGGCAAAGATAACGAATCAAGCTTATTTACAAGCCGTGAATGACTCGCTTTGCTTAACTGCATCTGTCTTTTTCCTACTTTTTTGCAACAACGAAACGCAAGCATATTTCACAACTCTGTTTTCAAATTTTCAAATAATCGACTTCACCTCCGTAATACTATCACAGCGCATAACTATGGCCGTATGTTTATATGCGCCTTGGCTGATTAGATACTACAGCGTACTATTGATTACGATAAAGAGACTGTCAGACTCGTATCGCACATTTTTCCCGCTACTTAACAACTGTAAATCCACTTATTTAGACACAGTGACTAAGTTTGTCCAGTCTTACTTTATGGATAACTACATCGAGAACCCCCGAAACGAGCTTAACTCCATTTCAGACTTGCTAGACGCTGACCCAATGCTATGGTACGTGAAACCGTACATTTTAGACTCGCTGCGTCTAATGATTTTCAATTACTATGTAAAATTCAACAAAAAGATAAAACTAAGTCTTATTAAAAAGCTACACGATCCTAACACGGACGTTGAGAGATGGATATTTTCGATTGTTTCAGACAACAAATACGTTATCAAAATAAATACGGACGAACAAGTGATAGAAGTTAGCAAGTCAGTTTCGGCGCCACTAGACTCGTTACTAGACCGTAAGACTCATTTGATCGAAAGGATGAAAAGAGTTATATTAAGTCTGCAAAATTAATTGTAATAAAATTTTTTACTCTAATTTAAAGTAATTTATTTTATTCTGAATTCTAATACCATGTCGGGTCGAAATAATTGCGGAGGTAAGAGCAGAAAAAGAGGAAAGAGCGATAACTATGGTGAAAAAAGAGAGTTGATAATAAAAGATGCGGAGCAAGAATACGGTCAAGTTTTGAAAATGTTGGGTAACGGCCGAGTACGAGCAATGTGTTTTGATGGTGTCGACCGATTGTGCCACATTAGAGGGAAAATGCGAAAAAAGGTGTGGATTGGCGCTGGTGATATAATTCTGGTGTCACTTCGTGACTTTCAGAATGAAAAAGCTGATATTATCCACAAGTACAACCCCGACGAAGTTAGAACGTTGAGACAGATGAAGGAGATTCCTGAAAACTACAGAATATCAGAAATGGCTTCCAGCGGTGACAACGCCTACGCCGACGATATTGGATTTGAGTCTGATATTTCAGAAGAAGGCATTGATTTGTCCGTTTTATAAGCTGAATAAATTTGTCAAGCCAGTTTGCTATTTTCTTTAAATTAATCACTAAATTTATATTATTTCTAATATATTTAATAGATCAATTTATCCTAATTTTTTTTGAATAAATAAAATAATGCAAACTGTTATTGGAATTAAAACCAAAGATTATGTAATACTTGCTACAACGAAGTGCAGCAGTTTATATGGTCTTCGGAACTCTTCGAGCTATTCTAGGACCGATTGCGTTAAAAACATTTGTATCGCGTACTCTAAACCTGACTCTGATATCATACGTCTTTTCGACAAAGCTAAAGTCTACGTAAAAGCACAAACTTTAGACGACCGAGAAATAACTCCGTGTGAAGTCATCAACTACATTGCTAGAACTATTGAAAAAACCTGCCCAGAGGCAATCATGAAGTCAGAATTTTTAGTAACAGGCTCTGCTAAAAACAGTTCTGAATTATATTTTCTTGGCCCACTAGGATGTCCTCGTGATGCAAATTACTGTGCTCTAGGAGACTTCAGAGAATACATTCGATCTATTTTATCGTCATCGTACTCAGAAAATCTAACTCCAGAGCAAACAAAACATCTTCTTTTTTCTATTATGGCAACACTTTATGAAAGATCTAAGATAAATGAATCTTGGGAAGTATTTGAAAAAAAAAATGATCAGGAGTCATTTACTTCACATGTAATAAATTCATCCAATTAAGCTTCAATCCCTTGTGATTGAACGTTTTCTATTTTATAAATTTAACACAGGTTAAAATTTGTTAATGTCTGATTTGCAAAAATGAAGCTCGGTTAATAATGCAAATTTTAATGATTTATGTGGTTTTTTTGCATTATTTTATTTATTGAAAGTAGATTGGTATTTGCTGCCGTTTTATTGATGCTTTTTTACTAAATTCTTATAAGATCATACGTAAATATTAATGATACACACAAAATTTCAAGCAATTTCAAGGTAAACTAATATAGTAAATCATGATCGAGTTAGAATTTGTGAGTTGCCTTCTTTTTTTGATCTTGGCCGTTCTGTGCGGATCACTGATTCAATGGGGGCAAAGTAATACGTCGTTTTATAAACCTCCAGTATCGATTTTGTGGTTTATTTTTGGAATGCTTATTTGTGCCCTGGAGATTTATGTTGTAAGCAAATATTCGATTACTGTTACAAACAGTTCGAACCCTTTGAAATTGATCATGCTGGGACTTGCTATGATGAGTCGTTTAAAGCATTACATTTTGTACATGTTAGTGCTGCCTTTACTTTTATACGACGCTACACAGATGATTGATTGGTATTATTTTCAAAAGCATATGCAGTCTGGAATTTTATTGGCAGTAGCTGGTGTGGTATTACAAGTTGCAATGATTGGGTCGATGATGAAGGTTTTATGGGGAACGCAGCTGAGTATAGCTGCTTGTTTCTTAGTGGCATCCTCCGTTAGTGCAACTGACCCTATCGCTGTATTAGCACTACTCGAAGAAATGGACGCACCCGCACAGATTGGAAGCATATTTGACACAGAAAGCTTGATTAACGACGGAAGTTCGATTTTTTTATTTACATTTTTTAGAAAATTTTTACAGTCAACGAAAAAAATTGCTTCCTATGACGCTATAGTAGAATTTTGCCGTTTGTTATTTGTTGGGCCAATTTGGGGCTACATGATGGCTGCCGTTTCTTACAGAATAATTAAACAATACAAGAAATACAGCTACGATATCACTTTGTTTGTGCTTTGTACTGCGTATGTGGTTTTTCTGATTGCAGAATTTTGCTTACACACTAGTGGTCCCTTGGCGATAGTTACTTACGGAATTTACTTCAAAGCTTACGCTCGAGCCGCATTTGAACATAAAACCGCAGCAGTCCATCACAATATAGTTAGAGGGTTGGCGGTAGGGTTTACTTCGTTCGTTTTTGTCATTAGTGGTATAGCGTGCACGAGAATTATTTACGAAATTTACAGTCACCATTCAACTTTAATGGTAGATTTTGATAAACAAGATTCCGTAAACATTTTCGATACCGAGGTAGCGCTAGTTCCTGATCTGCCCCTCATTAATAGCTTGTCGAACGACATTCTCGAAGGTAAAGTAGGAGCCGTAAGCGTCAAAAAAAAAAGCGACGTACTCACAGGTATTGTGTCTTTATTAGCTTCTACTAATTCGGCTGCTTATCCGTCGTTGATCAACATTCCAATATTTTTTGGCATCGTTCAACTAGCTAGATTTATCATGATCATGATATTCTACCCTAAACTCAAAAAAGACGTCACTTCATTTGACATAAAACAAGCTTTATTATTATGGTGGGGTGGTTTACGAGGAGCCGTTTGTCTCATTCTCGCTTTACTTCTTGAACAAGAACAAAGAATAGACGAATCTTATGTCATACACGCTACGCTCTACATAGCGAGCTACACTGTTTTATCTTTGCTTGTCAATGGATCTACTTTCGAACTGCTCTATAAAATACTCAAACCCTTCCGTATTAACTCTTTCAAAGCAGTCTATCTTGAACGAGTCCTGTCTTTAATTGAGGATGATGTTGACTATGAAATTAGTGAACTTAAAAAACATTGGCTTTTCAGTGAAACAAATGCTTTGAAATTTGCTAAGCATCTTTGTATAGATCTTAGAAAAGCTACACTATCACATTTATTTGGTTTAAAAGTTCCACATCTCAATGTTGATCGAGTTTTTGACTCGTTCAATCCTAAAGATTTTGAATACAGCCATATTATTTCGGATGAAATTACAAACAAAGAGCTAAACACCGCGCCAATTGCGTTTGGCCCAGTAATAAATGTAGCGAGCTTAGCTTCTCTTTTGAAACATAAGAAACACCATGGAACACTAGATTCGTCTTCTACAAAACTCAATATTATTGACAGAGAAGTTAGCAACAATGAAGAAGAAATGGAAGAAAGTAATAATCAACCAGCGGGCAATAAAATCCGTCATTCGGTTAGCATATACACCATTCACCATTTTAATCAAGGATCGATCGAAGCAGAAGATATTTTCTCCGATATGGATAATGTGTACGACAAGCTGCCTGCGATTCATCGATCAATCAGCGTTCCTAACGCTAACCAAATTATCTCCATTAAATCCTGGGATAAAGAACGCGAAATTATTACTATGGTTTTAAATTGTATTCGTAGTATGTATACAAAAGTGTATATCAGTGGACTTTTGTGTGGTACAAGTTTTGTGTCACAGCTTGCTAATCTAGATTTACTGACGGATTATTGTTTGACTGACATCAACAACTATCAGCAAATTAAAAAGTGGCAAAAACTGCTAACAATCAACAATCATTTCGAAAACAACTCCAGTTTTAAAAGTCGTTTCACCAATGCTTTACAGAGGCGACGTAACTTTTTTAGTTGCTGGAACGTAAGAACTTACTTTCAAACGCAAAAAATACGAAGGAAAAATAAATACAGAAAGCTCAAATCGCTCATGCAGTCTAATACACCGTTCGACCTTGAATGGAAACTTCTATGTAACAACTTGCGTTGCATACAAAGAGAGACCAACTACTTTTATAAATTTTATAAAAAGTACAACAAGATGGGCAGAGCATTTATCAAGATCTGGTCGTATATAGGCCCTCGACAGATTCATCCCTGCCTAGACGACCTACAAGTCTTGTTAGCATACATCGACGTACACTCTCAAATCAAGCAGCGAGCATCCGGTGGTTTACATCACTTGCTTGGAAATAAACAGTATTCGAGTTTCTTGTCTAAGATTGATCATGCCAGAAATAAGTTTATCAATTTGCATAACTATTACCCCAATTCTTTCTTTAAAGCATTAATCCTGCAAGCAGCGATATATATTTTACAAATTAAAATACATTTTGTCGAAGGTTACTTTGAAAAAGGACTACTTGTTGAAAGTGACAAAAACAAAATCATTAAAGCTCTAAGAGATAATTCAGATAAAATTCTACGATATTATCCTGTTGATATTAATTAATAATTTATAACTTTTTTATAGCACTAATTTATCATGATAGATATAAATAAGTTACGAGTGGATAAAGGAGGCAATCCAGAAATTTACCGTAAATCGGAAATCGCTCGTGGTCGCGATGGAAGTCTCGTAAACGCCGTTATCGAACTTGATAAGACTTGGGTCAAAGCAGAGTTCCAAGTGAGCGAGCTTCGCCGCGAACTTAACCAAATATCAAAAGAAATTGCTGTCCTTCGCAAGCAAAAACATGATGCGACTGATTTTATTATTAAATCAACTGAGTTAAAAAGTTTGATGACTGCGAAAGCGGCCGAAGCAAATAATTTCTTGCAGCAGCGTAACCACAATTTGTCTTTGATAGGAAATTTAGTTCACGAATCTGTTCCTAATTTCGTTGATGAAAAACATAACCCAGTCGTTCGCACATTCGGAACGATTCAAGAAAAAAATTTTTCCGTCTTGCCTTATTACACAATCATGGAAAAATTGAATTTTGTCGAAATGAACAAATCTTCTTTGATTGTTGGGCATCGTGCCTACTATCTCCTTGGCTTAGGTGCTAGACTGAACCAAGCATTGTTTTCCTATGCTCAAAACTTCTTGCAGCAATATAACTACACACTCGTGCAAGTGCCAATGTTCATCAAAAAAAGCTACATGCAAAAAGCTGCTGAATTGCAGGACTTCGAAGAATCTCTTTACATCATAAACAACTCAAACGATGGCAACGAAGACTTGTGTCTCATTGCTACCAGTGAACAACCTTTATGCTGTTTACACGCTGACCAAACTTTCCAGCGCACTGAACTACCTGTCAAATACTGCGGTATCAGCTCGTGCTTCCGCAAAGAAGCCGGCTCTCACGGCAAAGATATGCGTGGGATTTTCAGAGTACACCAATTTGAAAAAATTGAACAGTTTGTCATCACTTCTCCTTCCAGCAGCGCCGATATGCTAGAGCAAATGATTGAAATCAGCGAAAAATTCTACCAATCTCTCGAATTGCCCTACCAAGTTATTTCTATTGTTTCGGGAGGTCTCAACAACGCAGCTTCGAAAAAGTACGATCTAGAAGCTTGGTTCCCCGCTACTAAAGAATTCAGAGAACTCGTCAGTTGCAGCAACTGCACGGACTACCAGTCTAGAGACTTAAATATCCGATACGGCCAAGTCGACAGCAACCAGGGCGAAAAACAGTTCGTTCATCTTTTGAACGGTACGCTCTGCGCAACCGAGCGAACACTTTGCTGCATCCTGGAAAATTACCAAGATGAAAAAGGCATTCGAATCCCTAAAGTGCTACAACCCTACTTGTCAAATTTAGAATACATTCCGTACGAATAAAATTAATTTACTAAACTTTGCAATACTCTGACCCCAGATGCTCAATGATTTTGTCCATATCGGTAATTTCTATGTTTTTATATAGATTAAAAATATTGTTGATCACAACGTAAACCAATGTACTGTAAAGTAATAGCAAATTCTGAATGCATTTTTGGTTGATCACTTTAGACTGATAAACCAAGTCTACAGTTTTTTTTTCTTGATTGCACACAGACATTTTCGGAATTGTAAGCAGGAATTGCGCGAAAGTTGAATTTTTCGATTCAAGCATTGTCGTGTTCGTGTATATATTTTCGATGTCGTCAATCAAGTCGCATTTAGTTAAACTTACTAGTAACGAATTAGTTCGAGATAACTGTGGTTTATTTACGTTGTTTGTCCCGGAATTTTCGAAAATCAGTATTGAGGTATTATAGTCGTCGCTGTTCAAAGTGAACATCTTGTTCACAAACCCAGTGCTAAAAGTTTTTTCGTTTTTGTTTAAATTCAGAAGAGAAGACTGCAGAAACGTTATGTTTTCGTCCGGTTCTTGCTTGACCCGAGTTTTTTGTATGATTTCATTCAGCACATAGTCAAAAGATGGCCGAAAAATCATAAATCCCTCTTTTGGGAAAGATTTTTTTGGATTTTCCTGCTTCACCATTTTAATACGTTATAATAAGCATTATTAAAAATATATTATAAAAGTTTAAAAATTTGATAAGCTTGTTCACACGTTATTAGTGACCGTGAGAGCTAATGTGATCATGTCCGTGCGAATGGGAATGAGAATGGCTCGAGCTTGAATGGGGAAGAGATTGTAAAGATGATCTGAAAAACTGCTTTTGCAGTGGTTGGCAAACTCCTCCGTTGAGTTTGTAGCCCTTAGGACATTCGAGGTCGTAACCTACAATTCTAGTTCTTGTACATTGACCTTCGCTGTCTATGACAAACATTTTAGGACACGACAGCTCTGGCTGTGTCACCACTACTTCTTCACAGAAACCGTTATTCAATGTTTCGCCATTTGGGCAAGTGTATTCAGGGTCTGAATAAACTATCTTAGAACATGTCTTGTCTTCTTGCTTGTATCCTTTAGGACAGGTAAAGTGGGGTTCCACTACTTCTGTCGAAACGCAAAGTCCCTCCTCGTTAGGGACACCCTTTTTACAGGTTACCTCATGCGGTACGGTTTCGGCAGTATTACTGCAGGGCGTGGGAAGTGGTTTGATTTTAGTCGTCATAATACATTCGTTGCCAACTAATGAGTAACCTTTGACACATTCAATCTTTGGTTCTTTTTTGTTTATATTTATGCATTCATTGTTTACATCGGGATCGCTTCCGTCTGCGCATCTTCGAGCTGCTGGCACGCTTTCATTGATTATGCACGTTTTATTTTCGGCAATAGAACCGTCAGGACAACGTGAATACGCTGGAGTATTTTTATACGCAACACACTTTCCGTTTTGATGCTTATATCCTTTTTCACATGTAATTTCCGGAGAAGTCGTCTCAATTCTTTGACAAATGTTTTTGTTTAGCATATATCCTCTAGGGCAACCAATCAAAGGTTTTGATACAAGCTCGACTTCACAGTATTTACCTTTCAAAACACCTTCTTCACAGTATTCAGTTGCTTCAATAGCAACTTCTTGGACGCACATATTATCAATGAGTTTATAATTTTTTTGGCAAGTGACTTTAGGGTTACTTTTGTCTGTTAATATACACATATTACCTATCAAACTGTAATTGGAATGACAACTCAGGCTTGGCTTGGCTGTTTTGGTCACTATACATGAGTTGCCCTCCATGACCGAGTTTTCAGGGCAAATTTGGTTTTTTTCCTCGCACTTAATAATTTTAATACATTTACCCTGGTCAAACTTAAATCCTTTTGGGCAAGACAACTCGGGTTCCATGTATTCAGATGCCTGACACATACCGTCGATCAGTATATGGTTGCGGGGACACTCCACCAAAAAGTCTACTTGTTCAATAATCTCACATTTTTTATGATTTCGCACAGCGTTACTTGGGCAAACATATTCTGCAGCTTTTTTCAATACTTGAATACATTCATTATTTTCAAATACAGTATTTTTCGGACATGATGCAGTCGGGTTACTATATTCGACTGAAATACAGGCGGTTCCGTTGTCTACATAACCGGGTTGACAATTCGGAATAGGAGAAACTAAAAATCGTTTAAATGTTTATAACATACTTGTTTCTATGACTAATTCACTGTAAACCTTATTAACTAGAGTTAAAGCAATTATTGCTAGATTAGGTTTCATGTTTGATCAATATTCGAGAACACACGTTTGGAGACATAGAAACATACCTTGATGTACAAACACAAACTATTTATAAAGAAGAATACGATCGTTTGTTTGCACTAGTACACTCACAATCGTTTATGAATTTATTATTGGTTTCCGATTTAGCGAGTTGGATATTGATTTTCCTTTTACGCACTAATTTCCTGTTTAGTTTCAAACATGCAAGTTTGCATTGCCCTTCAGTTTCAAACTGCAGCCAAGCCACCCCAACCGGTGACTTTGTTTTTTTGATATATATGTTTAAAATTTTGCCGTATTTATTAAATAAGGCTTCTAGATCTTTTTTTAATCTTGTAGTGCTGCCGGTAATAGTTAAATTCGATATAAACAAAGTTCGCATTTAAATTATCAGGTTTTCAATCCCGTCACAATAATTGCAATACAAATTTTTTTAGCAATATATTGCCGTAGTAATAATTACGTTTGAATTAAGAAAAGTATTACCGTAGAAAATTAATTGAAATGGCGCGAATAAAACCCGTGCTAAAATTAAAAGACTTAGAAGCGGAAAAGAACAAAATTAAAAGCCTTTTTTTAAACACGGAACCCACAGACTTGCAAGAAAACGACGAATCGTGTGCCAGTAATTCAAATTTAGAAAACAACGAAAAAGCAGCCAATGACTGTTCTGAGCCAGAAGAGAGCGAATATGATGATTTAGTTGATCCGGATTTGTATTTTTCCCAAGCTATGCAAAGCGAAGCCAACAACGAACTTGATGAAGCGATAGACTTTTACAGTCAGGCAATTGAAAGCAAGTAAGTTTATATTTATTACATTTTCTTAAAGGGTTGCTGAACTTTCCGAAACCATGAGTCGCGAAGAAGCAGAACTTCACGCGAGTCTCGGGCCGTATTGGCTCGCTTACGGCAGGTGTTTGTACAACCAACTCTGCTGCAACGAAGAGTTATTTTCTATAGTGGAAACAAATAATGGAGAAGAAAATCAAAACCAAAAAGAATTTGTTTGGAACATAATAGAAACAGCCCGAGTTTGTATTGAAAAAGCAGACCCGCTCGTACAGAAGGCTAATTTAACAGAATTCAATGACTTAGATGAAGTCTGCAATTTAGTGCAATCAGTGTCTAACTTCATCGATACGAACGGCACTAACGGCCTGAAAAAAAAGGAAAGCGATCTTTTCAATGTGCATATACTGCTAGGGGATTTCCACATTAGTTTTCATGAATACTGTCGAGCAGCGTTCGAATATTGTTACGCGTTAAATGTTGTTAATTTAGAGAAACTGTATATCGACAAGGCCGCAATAGCAAGTGTACCTTTGGCTCAAGCTTTATGCGGCTTGAATGAGCCAAAAGCGATTGAAACTTTCGAACTTTCAATAAAATGTGCCACGCTCGAGTTGTTAGACATAAAGTCCGACTCAGACCATGCTGAAACGTTACGTTCTATCATATCTGATTTAGAGAAACAATTAGAAGAATACAGAAAATCGTACACTAAATTAAAGAACTGCATTGTTGAGGCAATTGAACACATTCACGACGGCACAGAGGTAAACCCAAATCAAAACTTGGAAACTATTATCGAGACTGACGACGTAGTTGACCTGGGATTCATCCAGCCGAATAAAAAAGTTAGACGCGCTGATGACAAGACTTTTAATAATAATAAAGAGTGACTTGTTAATTATTTGGTTTCACCGAACGCCACGTTTTCGGTACGATTTTAAACAAAAAGTGTGGGTTCATTGGGTCGACAATAGGTTCAGGAGCCTCAAGCATCTCAGGAAGCTGATTATTCATGTTGTTTGCAGGTGGTAAAACGGAATACGCGGACGGGATAGCAAGAATATTTTGAAGCAACTCTAAGTACGACATTTCTTCGTCTAAATTGTTGGCGCAGTTATAGTAATACGCGCACTGTTCCCGAATCCATCTCGAAAGATACTTTGCTTTAACGTACCGTGCCTCTTCTCCTCCACACAAAAGTCTTATCAAATTAATATTAGGCGGAAAATCGGGAAGTTTTTTCCTCCAAAAGTTGTAATATTCGATCAGCGTTAGAGGATTTCTCGAGTACATAATTTTGTTAATGGCATAAGCCGGAGGTATATACTGAAGTACTTCTTGAATTTCAGGTTTTTTTTCTAACAGGGTTTCTGTGACGTAGTTGTGGGTACTCTTTGATATTTTTTTCATTTCTACCTTGGAAATATTGAGATCGTTTTTGTATTTAGCGAGATTTTTATTTAAACTATTTAATACTTCTCTTAACGATGTCTGAACTAAACTAACTAAATTTCCGCAAACTTTTGTTACACGTTCATATTCATCTCTTTGGCCCTGAACTTTAGCCATTTCTGTGGTATTGATCGCATGCAAAATTGTTTCCCAGGCTTCATTTACATCGACGACTAAATGCCCCCGGCCATGTTTAGAATCTTGACCTATGCAGCATTTTGAACAAATGGCCAGGCTTTTGCAAGTAAGACAAGAGAACTCAGCTTTTGAACCTTGGTGGTAAGAACAGTATTCAGAATCGTTATATTCATTTTGTTCTGAATAATTAACAGAACGTTCTTTTTTTAGATTGGAAAAATTTTTTTGGTCTTTTACTGTAGTGCCATTATTGGACAAAATTATTTTTGACATAACAACAGGGTTCTGGTTCTCGTCAGGCAAAATCTTGAAAACTTGATGTGCTACG